AAATTATCAATAAGTACAACACAATTCCAATATCCTTCAGTGTTCTTCTTTGGTAATCATTAGAAAGTTGCTGGTGCATCTTTCATTCTGAGCAGCATGACTTTACAACGATAAAATCTGGCAGCGTCTGTGGAGAGAAAGCAGAGTTAATGTTTCGGATTAAATCACCCTTCTTCAGAATAGAATATGTATTAAGCAAGAAAAATTTTAACTATATTACATTCAAAAAAACATTGGAAAGATTATACAAAATACACCAGCAAAAGGATTCATACGTTATTCCTTTATTCCAAACAGCATACCCCATTGAAGGTCTACCACATTTATACACTAAGGCTTCTTGTTCAGACTTTGAACATTCACTAAATACTTTTCTTCATCTGGTATCTCTCCCTGAGACATCTAAAACAAATTGCATGCTAAACAAACTTCAGAGCAAACCATGAGTTCTCTAAACTCAGATTCCAATAGTCTTGCAGGATTTCTTCCTGGATAGCTTAACACTGTTGTCACATACAAGTATACAATCAAATACATCCTTGAAACCATGTCCCCAGGCAACAACACAGTTTTTCATAAACTTTTAATACACTAAGCCACCAACCTCACCTCTTCATTTCAAAGGTTATAAAACCTCATTTAGAGCACATGAATACAAACAGGTCTCCAGACCTTCTTGCATTAAGCCCAGAGAAACAACTCTAGCAACAAAACTAAACCCACATCTCCCTCTTCCTAACACAAAAAGTACAAAATATAACTTAATTTTACAATTTGACATTTTCCAAATACATGTCTTAAGATATAGAAAATTGCCCAGGTAAATCCTGTCTACAGAAAGCAGCAGAAGTCCAATTACAACCCAATGTGTCTGCCCTCAATCATCAGCAATGTGATGGGTCACCATGATGCACTGGTAGTAATGTATCAGCAAGTTTGCAGATGACACATAAATAAATTGAAGGGAATTGGTGAGGATGACACAGATTCCACAGAAGGATACAGACAGGTAATGGGCAAAAATTTATCAGATGGAATATAATGTGGGAAAATGTGATGTTTTGCACCTTGGCAAGAGGCATAAAGGAAATGAATATTATTTAAATAGGAAGAGGCTGTAAAACTCTTCAACATAGAAGTATTTGGACATCCTAGTCAATGATTCAAGGAAAAGTACCCTCCAGTGTCAGTGGGTAATAGTGAGGAGGTGCACTGTTGGCATTTATTTCAAAGGAAATGGTACTGAACCTCTGATATTACACGTTCCCTTAGTACAGACCCTCTGACAAAGCAGTACTCTCTCAGTACTGACCCTCTGATGCTGCCTCACTTTTTCGGTACTTACCCTCCAACAGTTCAGAACTTCCTCAGTACTGACACTCTGACAATACAGAATTTCTTCAATATTTACCCTCCAATAATGTGGAACTCGTTCAGTACTGACCTTCTGATACAGCAGCATTTCCTCACTACTGACCTACTGACAGTGTGGTGCAGCCTCAGTACTGATTTTCCACTAAGCAATACGCTGTCAGATGAATTTAGAGCTTGGATTATTACATATAACTATGATACTGTAGCTATTACAGAGATTTGGTTGAGAGTGGGACAAGACAGCTTAACGTTCTCCAAGATTTAGATGTTTCAGGCGAGACAGAGAGGGATGTAAAAGAGGTAGAGGAGTTGCATTATGATAACGGAGAATATCACAGCTGCACTGAGGGAGAACATCTGGGAGGCTCATCCAGCAAGGCCATATGGTCAGAACTCAGGAATAGGAAGGGTGCAGTCACTTTGATGGGATTGCACTAAAAGCCTCCCAATAGCTAGCGGATGATAGAGGACCAGATATGTGGACAGATTATAGAAAAATGTAAAAACAAAACGTTGTTGTGGCAGGTGATTGTAGCTTCGTCTATATTGATTGGGACTCCCTTGGTGCCAGGTGCTCGGAGAGAGAGGAATTTGTTCGATGCATCCAGGAGGATTTCTTGAAACAATATATAAATAGTCCAACTGGGGAAGGGGCCATACTAGACCTTGTACTGGGGAATGAGCCTGGCCAGGTGATTGAAGTTTCAGTGGGAGAGCACTTCAGGAACAGTGACCATAATTCTGTAAGTTTTACATTACTTATGGATAAGGACAAGTCTGAGGGTGAAAGTGTTAAATTGGGAGAAGGCTAACTATGAGAATACTAGGCAGGAACTGGGGAATGTAGATTTGGGAACAAAAACAGAAGTTGCTGGAAAGCTCAGCAGGCCTGGCGGCATTTGTGAAGAAAAATCAGTTAACGGTTTCAGGTCCGGTGACCCTTCCTCAGTTCTGAGGAGTCATGTTACAGCTGTATAGAACTTTAATTAGATCACATTAGGAATATTTCTCAGTTCTGAGGAAGGGTCACCGGACCCAAAATGTTAACTCTGATTTTTCTTCACAGATGCTGCCAGACCTGCTGAGCTTTTCCAGCAACTTCTGCTTTTGTTCCTGATTTACAGCATCTGCAGTTATTTTGGTTTTTAATGTAGATTTGGAGGCAGCTTTTGAGGGTAAATCCACATATGTCATATGGGAATCTGTTAAAGGCCAGTTGAGTAGAATTCAGGACCAGCATGTTCTTGTGAAAATGAAGGATATGGACGGCAAGATTCAGGAACCTTGGACGATAAGAGAAATTGAGAGCTTAGCCAAAAAGAAAAAGGAGGAGCTGTTGGGTGTTTTGAAAAGCATTAAGGTAGACAGGTTCCCAGGACCTGAAAGGATCTATTCCAGAATACTGAGGGAGGCAGGTGAGGAAATTTTTGGGGCCTTGTATGAACTGTTTGTATCCTCCTTAGTCAGAGGAAAGGTCCAGAGGACTGGAGAATAGCCAATATTGTTGCTTTATTTAAGAAGGCCATCAGGGATAATCTGGGAAATTACAGGCTGGTGAGCCTTACATCAGTGGTAGGGAAATTATTGGAGAAGATTCTTAGGGACAGGATTGACTCACATTTGGAAAAATATAGACTTATTAGCGATAGGCAGCGGTGAAGGCCATGTCTCACAAACAATTGAGTTTTTTAGAAAGTGACAAAGATGCTTGATGAAGGCAGGACAGCAGATGTTATTCGTATCAACTTTAGCAAGGCCTTTGACAAGCTCCCTTACGGCAGGCTGATACAAAAGTAAAGTCACATGGAATCTGAGATGAAATGGTTAAGATGGATACAGAACTGACTTAGTCATAGAAGACAGAGAGTAACAGTGGAAGGGTATTTCTCAGACTGGAGGTCTGCAACCAGTGGTGTTCTACAGGGATCAGTGCTGGGACCTTGTTTGTTTGTAACATATAGTCATTCCTCTGTATCCATGAAGCTTCTGTTCAGAACCCTTGCAAATGATGAAATTCGTGAGTGCAGCTTGTTTAGCTCACAGACATTGAATTTTTTTGTTACTTATTTTTTGGCATGGATAGGCGCATTCGCAATTTCACAGATACTGAGGATTTACTGTATATAAATGAGTTGAGAATATAGGTGGCTTGAGAATGTAGAAAGTTTGAAGATGACACAAAGATTGGGGAAGGCTGCAGATAATGAGAATGATTGCCAGGCAATACAGCAGCATATAGATAGGCTGGAGATTTGGTTGGAGAAATGACAAATGGAGTTTAATCTAGACAAATGCAAGGTGATGCTTGGGAGATCTAATGCAGGAGGGAAGTATATGGTAAATGGCAGAACCTTTAGTAGCATTAAAATATAGAGGGCTCTGGGCGAACATGTCCACAATTCTCTGAAAGTGGCAACACAACTGGATAAAGTGGTCAAGAAGGTGTTTGACATGCTTGCCTTCATCACGAGGGGCCTAGAGTATAAAAACTGGTAACTCATGTTGCAGCTGTATAGAACTTTAGTTCGACCACATTTGGAATATCGTGTACCGCTCTGGTTGCCATACTACCAGAAGGATTTGGAGGCTTTGGTGAGGATTTGGAAAAGGTTTACCAGGATATTGCCCGGGTTGGAGAGTATTAGGTATGAGGAGAGATTGGACAAACTTAGTTTGTTTTCATTTGAATGTCGAAGGGTAAGGGGTGACCTTATTGAATATTATAAAACTATGAGACGCATGGATAGTTGGAGTTTTTCCCAGGGTAGAATTGTCAATTACTAGGGCACATCGTTTTAAGGTAAAAGAGGGTAAGTTTAAAAGAGGTAATGAGACGCAGGTATTTTTCACACAGAGGGAGATAAGTGCCTGGAATGCACTGCCACAGGAAGGGTGGAGGTGGATACAACAGCAACGGTTAAGAGGCAACTTGATAGTCACATGAATAGGTGAGGAATTAAAGAATAGGGACATCATAGAAGCAAAAGGTTTTTAATTTAGAAAGGCATCATGTGTCAGCACAGTCTTGGTTAGCCAAAGGACCTTTGTCTGTGCTGTACTGTTCTTTGTTCTCCTTTGTTCTTTAACTCTCCAAGTCTGTAATTACTGGATCTCCAACACAGATCTCTGTGGGTCATCAGTCATAGGGTCATAGAGATGTACAGCATGGAAACAGACCCTTCGGTTCAACTCATCCATGCCTACCAGATATCCTAAATAAATCTAGTTCCATTTGCCAGCATTTGGCCCATGTTCCTCTAAATTCTTCCTATGCATATACTCACCCAGATGCCTTTTAAATGTTGTAATTGTACCAGCCTCCACTACTTCCTCTGGCAGCTCATTCCATACATGCACCACCCTCTGGGTGAAAAAGTTGCCCAACGGGTCCCTTTTAAATCTTTCCCCTCTCATTTTAAACCTATGCCTTCTAGTCTCCCCCCATGCTGGGGAAAAGATCTTGTCTACTTACCTTTTCCATACCCCTCATGATTTTATAAACCTCTATAAGGTCACCACTCAGCCTCTGACACTCCAGGGAACATAGCCCCAGTCTATTCAGCCTTTCCCTACAGCTCAAACCCTCCAACCCTGGCAACATCATTATAAATTGTTTATAAACCCTTTCAAGTTTCACAGCATTCTTCCTATAGCAGGGAGACAAGAAGTGCACACAGTAATCCAAAAGTGGCCTAAACAATGTCCTGTACAGCTGCAACATGACCTCCCAACTCCTATACTCAATGCACTGACCAATAAAGGCAAGCATACCAAAAGCCTTCTTCTTCACTATCATATCTAGCTGCGACTCCACTTTCAAGGAACTATGAACCTGCACTTCAAGGTCTCTTTTTTCAGCAACAGTCCCCAGGACCTTATCATTAAGTGTATGAGTCCTGCCCTGATTTGCCTTTCCAAAATGTAGCACCTCACTTTTAACTAAATTAAACTACATCTGCCACTCCTCGGCCCATTGGTCCATCTGATCAAGATACTATTGTACTCTGAAGTAACCTTCTTCGCTGTCTACTACACCTCTGACAATGAAAGTACCTGCCTATGAGCCCTACTCTCTGTCTCCTAGCATTCAGCTGAGTGTTTATCCAGATCAATTATTTCTTCTCAATTCCATAAGCTTCACTTTTGGTTAATAGTCTGTTCTGGAGAATGCATATTAATTTCATCCACGGACATTCCTTCAATCAGATGTGAGTATTGAAGGGGTTCATTCATCTTATCCTCTGATATAGAGTCTAAGTTTACACCAAGTGACCTAGTCAATATATCCCTGGGTTTTCTCTTTCATCTTTTCTAGATAGCTGAGCGATCTCCACAAATTGAATCAAAAGGAATGTCTCCCTAATTGAGAGAACTTTGAAAGATTACAGTTAAGGCATTACCAACTTCCTTTAAACCCTAGGATGGAAAACCTCAGATCCTGGGCATTGGTTAATCTTTAATGTCATTCTTTTCTTCAGCATGAAATCTCCTACAGTTGAAGTTGCAACATGCATTGGTCATGCTCACTTTAGAAGAATAGCTCTATTAAATGAACTAGCATAATGTAGATAAGTAAATCTCCAGACAAATTCAGCATTTGCAAGAGAGGTGGGTAAAGGAGGGTGGCTTGGGACAGCAGTATGACGGAGGGACAATCCATATGTAATAAGATAAATATTAAATCGATAAAAAGGTAGTGATGTGAATGCTGCCATTCTTCAAGGTATTGTAAGTGTCATGAATGTAGCTCTCTATATTTTCAGTTATCGACTGTGGGACACCCCGACCACTTGAAGATGGATTCATCACTTTTCATAGCACAGACAATCTAACACTGTTTAGAAGCCACATTGAATATTCATGTCATGCCTTATATTACCGGATGGAGACAGAATTGAACAGTAAGTGGATCAGGTTTCACTCAAATGAATAAAATAGTGTTTGCTTATTGGAACAAGTAGGACACATCAACCCACACTGCAGGCACAGGATTGTATAATTGACAAACTCTCTCAAACCCACAGGCATTCAGCTCAGTCTTACCCCAAGACCAGGGAATGGAACAAACAGAAACGAACTTCTTGACAAATTCTGTCCGACTCACTGGCTTCTTTACATGATAACATCCTGCAGTGTGGGATTGGACTTGGGGGATATTGAAGGGTACAGGGAATAAATGAAGAATGGAATTAGACTGGGTTGGATTATTAGAGGATGCGAGGAGCAAATAGAGAGCGGAACTACACTGGGTCGGATATTAAACAGTGTACAGAGTGCGGGGAGAGTTTGGTTAGATTGGACGGTATATTATAAGGTGCAGAGAGTGAGAGATAGAGTGGGATTAGACTTGGGTGGAATAGTGAAGGATGCAGGGAGTGAGAGGAGAGTGGAAATAGACTGGGTGGAATAGCTGTTTGTAAAATGAAAAACTGTGATTGAAAAAATTGTCTGGTATGTTTTGGGGATTTCTTGCCACTTAAATCAGAACAGTATTTATGTACAGAGA